TCGCTGCACCCATTAGTTTACTATTTATTAACATATTAATTACAGACAAATTAAAACAATCAACGTTTATTACGATATTTTTGTTTTGTAACCAAATAACTCCGTTCCTTCTATTGTATGGTTTTGATCCTTTGATCCTGTTAAACGAGAATTCTAGTTATTAAAGCAATGCAAAATTAGGCACTTAACGTAATTGAGATCTACGAGTGTATATACCGGGGTAATTCAATTACATTTGGTTTTTCATTAATTAGCTTAATTAATTTTTTGTTATTATGTAAGCAGGTATATGCAGTTAGTTCTGTAATCTTCAACAATTCTATTAAGATTAGTTAAAAAGGATTATGGGAAGCTCTACTAGGTATTTGTCGCAATTATTTCTTGCGGCCTTTTATAAAATCAATTTCCTTACTACTAGCTGTTTTGTGCTTTTGTAAAAAAAAGTGTTCATGTTTCGGTAAAATGGTTATTAATATATAACTGTAAAAATTATCGGAGAAGTGGGCTTTGACACCAAAAAACATCATTGAAATTCAGCTAAATTAAGTATGAACCATCATAAAAGGTACCTAGTAAGTTTTTAGTTCAGCCCATTTATTACTTGCAAGAATCCTAATTATGTTGGAAAGAGCGCCCTGTAAGTAAAAGCACACAGACTTATTTTTTTCTGGCGTGATACGTTCTTTTATTAGAAACTGATTAATATGCATTAATCCTGATATGTCTACGGTTGCAAATGTTGTGCAAAAGCTGTCTATTAGTTTGCTTTGCTTTCTCTAGACACTGATACATTATTATGTTTTAATACAAAAATATATTCAGCAAAAGCTAAGTAAAACCGGTTGTTCAACTGCATGTATACACACTTATAGTAGTCCACTTTGTTTCCTGAGTATATTTACTGCCTCAGCCCAGACTCTCCACTTGGTTGCCGATCAACCACTTCCGCAGCTCGGACTTGGAGAATTGACTCTTGTTCTCGAAATGGTAGCGAAACAAATGCACCTCTATCAAATGATCAACTCCAGGATAAAATTACTGAGAACTTTCATCCTCTTCGTTATTTTTTCGGTGTGAACATAAATCAGTTCTGTGGAGGATTCAGTTGTGGTTTGAACCTATTTGGTTTATATGGATTGGATTTATACTTATCTAAGTACCTAGTGGGTAGTAGTATGCAGATTTATGGTTTGTATTCCTTATTAAAACTGAAAACCTTCTTTCAATTCCTTTTACTGCTCCAACCCATCGAAATTCGTAACGTAGGACCTTATCCTGCTTGTTCCTTTTAATTTGCTACATAGATACATGGCACATTTAAACTTTTTGATAAGCAAGTGCATTTGATATATGCCCAATGAGCTGTTTGAAGGTCATGTAGGGGAATACGAACTGTTTTACTCGAGTATTAACCAGGTACTTCTAAAGAAGGGGTCAATAGAGCATAGGAAGTACCTACGCTTTTTTCCTTCGTCGCAACAAGGATCGAGCCAATGCGCTATAGGGAGGCAGGCTTGATGCATCTTTAATATTTTTCGTTTTATCGATAAATCAATAGGTAAACAGAGCGGATTTTTTCGGATAATTTAGAAAACTCTGCGGCTACGCGGAGAAAATGGAAAAGGAAAATTTACCTAAATATTAAAACGGTATTTATAATGAAAATAATAAAAATTAGAATTTGGGCTCAAATTTGTGAAAATAAAATCCCAGCAGAAATAAATTTACTAATTGATATTACAAATTAAATTTTAATAATCAAGAAACTTGAAATAATTTTAAAAAAATCATGTCAAAATTGAGATTATTACAAGTTACCTAATAAATTCTACTATTTCTACGCCAAATCCAGTCATTTACAATCGAAAATTGTAATTTTTGCTTTTCCATAAAAATTTAGTTTTTTTGCAAGGGTACACAAAGCCGGGGTAGGTCGCCAGTTTTTAACTTAATTAAACAACTTAATGGTTACATAACCGTTATTGCATGATAAAAAACAGGTATATTACATTGGGCTAGAACTAATTAATTCTTATTTATTAAGTGGTTTCTGCGAAACAGAAAAAAAGTAAGAGCTTGGAGGTAGGTTAAGCTAGGAGTGGTTGGGAAAATGGGAAAATATAGCCTCAACTTATATTTGGGTGCTCTCATAATTTAGATGACCTTTTTGTTCTTGTTGATCAATAGATTTCAATTTTTCTATATGCCTATTACGCTTAATTAAATTTGGACCGTCACAACTATTTCAGTTCTTTTATACTTATTAGGAAAACTATGTATTCCTTTGTTAGAATGTTGTTTGTCTGCGATATTAGAAAACCGCATAATACCATTACAGAAACGATTAGCAGTTACACAACCAATACATCATCTTTTATAAGTTAAGATATCTCAACAAAAAAAATGAAAGATAAAACTTGTGATACAGGAAAGTCGCTATTACTTATATTATCAATGTAATTGTGTAAGGAGTCGTTTGTAGAAATCTTAATAAGAAATCTTCGAGATTTATTTGCTTCATCGGCAATAGAGATTGTTTAGGAAATTGCAGTGATGTCTTGAAACAAAACACGTAGGTACAGGTAATATGAAATTGCACAATCTACACCGCTTGTCAAAAGATTATTATTTAACTTAGTTTAAGTAAAAGAAGTCGCAAAACTAACTAAGAATAAATGACAATTTTCGAAAAATTCAGACGTCTAATCGTAAATTATAGACGTGCTATCTTCTCAAAATGCCAACTTTCACTGTACATAATAGCCTTCGTTTATAGGTACTTTAGATAATACAGGTAACGAATCAGAACATCAATTTTATTTGATGTTTGATATTTCGTAAATGAGATTTAACAACGTAGGTAATGTAACTCTATTTGGAAGTTGTTAGTGCACCATTTAGTGTTTCTTAACTAACAGAATTTATAGGCCTTTAGAGAAAAGTATTAAGGTCAACAATTGAAACTAAATACAACACTCATACATAACATAAGTACATATATTGATCCATTATTTGATTCATAAAATAGTCGTAACTAAAGGATTGAAAAAGGCTGACGACGCTTTAAATATTTTCCATTGGTAAATTATGATGATAATGAGATAATGACTGTTTACGATGATGATATACAATATTGTTTGTAGTATCTTTTAAATTAGCTAATTTTGTAATATATATAGTACGCGATCACTACAAGAAGTTAAAGTTTATCTATTTAATACTCAGAAGCACGAGTCCTAAAATAATTGAATATTTTTTATCATCGGATATATTCTTTTCCGTTAGTCTAAACATTGCCCACCCATTACTACATCCACGAAATATTCTATTATTTCACCCTCTAATAAAACCACCCTTGTTTCATGACCACCCCAATGTTTAATTTTACATGGCTTGTTCACGAATTACACGCGTACTTGAAATATAGGTTTATACCATGAGTTTCAGACACCCTAATCGTTGGATTTTTGTTCATTTCGTTAAAATTTTTTACAAAAACATAACTTTATTTGAAAAATTTGTATATAATTTGTACTCGTTAGCATGCCTACACAGCTTTGCAGGGACGTAGCGAGCTTTTTTGCATAGTCTAAGAGTAGACTCATTCGTAGCTACCTACATCCCTGGAGCTTTGGACTATAATTCAACTACAATAATGTTTGTGGACAGAAAAATCGATATTTTTGAATCATTAGATAATAAGGTCGCATAATTTTGCATTAAGCAAAGCTAATAAGTCAGAATATTCACCCGAGCTCACGTGTAGCTGCATACGTCTATAGAGCTTTGGGCTTTGATTCATTCACAATCATGTTTATGGAGAGAAAAATAGATATTTCTGCATCATTCATCTGAGCACACCCAGAGCAACTAACGTCCTGGAGCTTTGGACTTTGATTCATCCACATTTATGTTCATGGAGAGAAAAATAGATATTTCTGCAGCATTCATCCGAGCACACCCATTCCAACTTACGTCCCTGGAGCTTTGGACTTTGATTCATCCACAATTATGTTCATGGAGAGAAAAATAGATATATCTGCAGCATTCATTCGAGCACACCCCTACCAACTTACGTCCCTGGAGCTTTGGACTTTGATTCATCCACAATTATGTTCATGGAGAGAAAAATAGATATTTCTGCAGCATTTATCCGAGCACGCCCATACCAACTTACGTCCCTGTAGCTTTGGACTTTGATTCATCCACAATTATGTTCATGGAGAGAAAAATAGATATTTCTGCAGCATTTATCCGAGCACGCCCATACCAACTTACGTCCCTGGAGCTTTGGACTTTGATTCATCCACAATTATGTTCATGGACAGAAAAATAGATATTTATACAGCATTCATCCGAGTACACCCATACCAATTTACGTCCCTGGAGCTTTGGACTTTGATTCATCCACAATTACGTTCATGGAGAGAAAAATAGATATTTCTGGATAATTAGATAAAAACGCCGCATAATTTTGCATTGAACAAAGCTAATAAGTCAGAATATTTATCGGAGCTCACCCGTAGCAACATACATCTCGAGAGCTTTGAGCTTTGGTTCATCTACATTTGAGTAAAGAGGCCAGTGTAGTATACATTTGTACTTTATTTTTGCCCTTGTTTTTTTCAAACGAACTCATGTTTATTTACAGGTTTTTTCAACTAGTTTAAAATTATCTAGGTTGTACGAGTATCTAGCGATTACCTGACAATTTTAGTGAAGCGAGGTGAACCGCTATAGTTGTAGATGAGACGGTGAGCCCACTCCGAAGACGACGCTGTGTAGAAGCTGCTGCAAGTTATATTACAATCAATGGCCATAATTTTTCATTTACTTATCAATCGAGTCCAACACAGGTAAAACAGGTAGAGAAGTTTTCAGGGCCAACAGGCTTCAAGCATAATATTACAAATCGAGAATGAGAAAGTCCTCCGAAAATACACGAGCTTCACACGAGGCCAATCTAACAGTACTAACTCTACACTCTACTCCCTGTTACTAGAAGTACTCGACTGTCGACTACGTTATTGTGCTGCGGTTGTAACAGCGTTATCGTAGTGGCTTGCGTGTAAAGTTTACAACTGTTCGATCCCTTGAAACTTTGTATTATCCTTAAGCTTCAACATAAAGTGAACTACAAATTTCCGAAGTTTCAAAAAATGAACATATAAAGTTCGAGTTGACGATTTCTTTAGTGTTTCGTTGTTATAAAAGTTTCTACCTGTACGTAATATAAGAAGTGTTTTTCGGCGCAACGGTGGACCCAAGCGAGCTTTCGCTTATGTGCCAGGCAGCCGAACCTTCGTTTTGTTATTATGCGATACTGAACGGCTGCAGAGGGACCTAAAAGCTGCCGAAGAGAAAAATGAAGCCCGTAGACTTTGGACGGCCGAAGAAGGTAAACATTGCATTTAAAATAGCGGACAGTGATTTCAGTTTAATCTGCGGCAATTGAACTCAATCTTCTTTAACTTTGTTAAACGAGTCAAAGGAGCTAATTTAACACATTGTTAGAAATTCTTAATTTAAACTGTTCTATTGTACTTGCCGCCCACGAGCAATTGTATAAGACCTAATTTTTTACTTTAAATATCACCACTATTACTTCACTCTTCAACTATGACACGGACACATTTAAATGCCTAGCGTGTGCTTCTAATATTTTTGTTGTTGATGCATCCTACAAAGTACAAATATATCATTAAAAAAATAATAATAAATGTTGACCACGTTACATCAATGCCTCTAACTATGTAAAGTAAACAAAAATATTTATTTACAATTAGAAAGTTTTGGATAATTATGTAATTGTTTTTGTTGTTAAATCGTAATTATTAATCAATCTAATTGGCTTAAAATTTTACTCAACTGTAGGTGTATTTGTATGATGTATACATACACAAAAGTTTATTTAAAATCATGATTGGACAAAATACAATATTGCTATTCCAATCAAAGGCTAACAATAATAGCTTTTTTTTTTAATGACTTGACATTGTTATTAAATAGTTGTTTTTATTTAAAACACCTGCTTCGATATTAAAAGATGGTTGCTCACTGCGTTGTGAGTGTATCGGTGTGCTTTAAAACTTATTTATGTTGATTACAATGTAAAAAAATATCATTTTACTTCTTATTACTAGCTTCACTTCCGTGACTGTAATAACATAAAATATCTTTTTCTACACTGGGTGCATAAAACATTCTTGCAAGTTTTACCTGAGTATATTTTTAATGTAATTGGTATCTACCTAAGAAGAATGTTCTACATTGGAGATGCTGATATTTTTAGTTGTATTTTTTTACATATTTGTACCGTCGACTATAATTTCTGTATTGAAATATTCAAGTGCTTGTTCCGTTCTATCTTCGTATTTATTAAAAAATACGTTTTCGTGTGGGTGTTTATCAAAAAGTCAATTATAAGCGTAGGCCATTGCATGCATGATACAATTGTTAATAATAAAACTGTAATTTACGTTCAAACAAAGTTATAATTTTAAAAGTTGCTCCAGCAAGCTCCAGTCACGTCTTTGATTTGGAAATTGGTCAGGTTTCTAAATAAATTTTCTATAATGGGAAATTGTCTTATTACAAGTGAAATTTTCACTCTAAAACCGCATTATTGTTATTAATTTGAATTAAAGAAACAGAAACAACTATCGATAATATTGCACCATAATACTTTTGTACTATGTTTTTATTAATGTTAAATTGCCTATTGTTTCGTGTTGCAATATTGATCCTTTCGGTAAGATTGTATCTTAGAAAGTGTGTTTTCAACATAATTTTAAGAGAAATTTGAAAATATTTTTTGCAATAGGTACTATACTCTTAAATTGTTCTTCACGATAATAAGCTTAAACAAAAAACAAAAAGAAAACATTATAAAACAATTATTATAAGTATCTTTACTAATATTATGAAGAGATCAAGTTTGCATTTGTAGTTAGTTTAGATGTAATACTCATTCGATTTCAATATAGAATGAGTTTTCTACCCCTGAAGGAGGAGAATGCTGAACCATTTGAAAGAATTTAAGTATTCAAACCAAAATTATCTGTTCTTTTCTGTAAAGCGTTAGGCGGTGTTAAAGGACTATTATTATCATATATGTATGTTCAAACAACTAAACATATATAAAGTATAGAGATTGTGAGATAAAAATTCGAGAAAATATGACCCACTTTCTTTCTTTTCTTTTTTAAAGACCCTACGTATTAACAGACAAATGTCGGCAATTGTTCTTCTATCTGTGTGTGTGTCACACTTTAAACTGAAGACTTAGTTTTTATTAGCAGTATTGCAATAGGTATTACAAACGCTATTATGATATTTCGCTTAGTTTTTGCCATCTAATTTAGTACATTCGGTGTGAGAGAATTTTGAAAATCTCAACTTGAACAATGCTGAGAACTAAAATAGATTATCTCACTCTCTTCCTTTGCGAATGTACGTAATTAACAGACCAATGGGTTTTATAATTATGTTCCCAAGCAAGAGGTAGCTAACTACCTAACTCGGTGTGGATGTATTACATTTTATTTATAATCCAGACAGCAGAAAGCATAAATTTGGATACTGATTCTAGGATAATTTAATTGTCGATTTATTAGTTTATCTTAAAGTTTAATAACAGAATAAACTCTGTCTCCTCATAGTCGTGCTGTATTCTACCTTTCAAAACACAGACCTTTTGATTCGTGATGTAGCATCTGCTGCCTACGGCGATTGTCGACTTCTCCTGTTTGGCCACCAATATAATGGAATTAAAACCATTATGGTAAATGTCGCCTGCCAATCCACGGTTAAGATGAAAGGTATTCATTCATTTAAAGGTTCTTAAAGCCGTAGGGGATGTTGCTTAACAGAAACGAATTGAATGATGATTACAAATTTTCGATTGACGAAATGACTTTTATACGTACAACATAACAAGTGAACTTTAATAATATAAATATTTAAATTACAGTACTAAGAAGAAATAAAGTATCCTAATATACTATAGGTAACATAACTTTATTTTTTTTTGTCGATTTGCATACTTACTTATCGATAATACGTGTAGCAACTATTCAAATACAATATTACAATCACATTCCGTTCTTATGAAGAAACGTGTAAACATTTTTTTAAACAACGTACGTGTCTGCCTTTGTTAAAAATTGAAATAATAATTATTGTGTATGTTTGTATTATATTGCAATGGTGGTAAATTGCTTTACTTATAAGTGGAATTGTAGCAGAAACAACAAAGACAGAAGAACAATCTTGTTGCCTTAATAAGAAACCAGTAATTATCCCTTTTATGGTACCTTACACGAAGGTAAACAGTGCACGTTTCCCCAGGCTTAACTTTTGCTATAAACAAGACTGCAATATTCCTATACAACATTATCTGCCTACATATGAAATCCAATTTCATTCATCTATCTACAAATGTATATTATATTTTCAAGAAGAGTTTGCTACCTACAATAAAAAATGCTTTAAGAATTGACTCGAGTGTGAATTTACTACAATATATTCAATAATTATTTTATATCTACCTATAATATAATTTATCAGGCAAGTTGCAAGGGGTATCGCACATACGATGTTATAGTTGTAACATGTAGACTGAAATTTAATTGGAACAGTAAAAATGGGGTGTTTTTTTCACAGTAAATGCAAATGTCTAAATAATTCACGAGGTACGAGTAATAGAAAGTTGAAAAATTCATTTTGCTAATCGAAACCATTTCTGCAACAAGAAAAGTATTAGCAAGTAGCACCTAATGTAGTACTAGTGAACCAATTTTACAATTAGTTACTGATGGTATATCGCTATTAAAACATCCGCTCATTTTGTACAATAACAATAATAGTATTTGTGTTTGTGCAAGTGGTTGATTTATTGAAATTTGTATGAGTTAGTGCCATTGTATTAGTTTGGAGTAATGGTTAATATTATCAGTACGAAAACAAATAATTGTATCAATTAGTTTTGCTTGCAATACAAATTTTGTTTGACTGCTGTAAAACAAGTAATTATTCGCACGGATGTTGTTGTATACATGTATTGTAATTAAACAATGCGATAATAAAGGATATATATATATATATGTATCAGTTATAAAGTAAAATAGTGCGATCTAAATGAAAATTATGTATTATAATATATGTATAAGTACAACTAATGTTTATAAGAATTAGTTAATTTAACTTCATCTTCGGGAAAGGATTTTCTGTTAATATACAATGTTTTCTCTTATATATACCTATGTAGAAAGGTACATGCTAATAGGTCAAAGTTCGGCTGTTATTTCTGTATTCCCCTAGAAAATGTAAAATTAACCGTCACGATAATTAAGACTAACAATAAATGAGTCATGAAAACAATAATAATTACTCCATATTTTGCTTCTGGATGTGTGGCTTTAGCCTTTAGAAAAATCAAATTTAAAATTTACTAACAGTAGAAGTATAACTACATATATTATCAAAATGAGAATCTTTATTATTGCTGATTTCTTATTTTATAATAGGTTACTTCGTCAAAATTCAGAAATAAATCGAAAATCACTTTCTCTTTTATCGATTAGTTAAGATTTACGACTTAGTTGCACCTTGTCCCAAATCGTTAGAGGCCTGGTTACATTATTAAAATAATTATAGGCTTCAACGTATTCAAACATTTATAAGTTTTACACAATTACCATGTACGATTAATTTATGGGAACTAAAATGGTGTCATAGTATAAAAAAAGCGTATTTATTATAATAGTAAAAATAGGCCAATGGTGTAGATATAACAAAAAGCACAAAATGTCAACGAAAGAAATAAATCGGATAGAAACAGGAAGGTGGTAGATAGATAATGACAGTAGTTGTGCAAGAATTTACTTGGTTTTCCTTCCATGATGTAACATTAATTCAACAACCCAAAATACATGAACTGTAACATTAATTACAAGTGAACCGTTGCTGTCATTTGTCTTTAAACTTTTACGGGATGACTCCAATCAAACAAAACGTTGCTCATATAACGAATACACTGTTCCAGTTTACTAATTTTATGGTTGTGGTAGAAGAAAAGAAACACTTCAAATACCTAACAATTTAAAAGAAATAAAACCAATCGTACTAAACTTACCATTACATTTTCGTTGAGTATTATATGCATACAAACTGTAAACCAGTAAATGAGCGCGTCCGAGAATATTGTAGTGAATACCTCTAGCGGACTCTAGCGAAGGACTCTCATCGACGCCGAAGGAGCGCGGGCTTACTTCACCGCGTATTCTAATGTAGTGTTACGGTAGCGAGAAAGATCTAAAAATGATTCACATCATGTGATTAATATAAAGTTCTAAGTTGCTGGTTGATTTTCCAGGATTTCGAACTTCTCGCTTTTAC